ATATCCGTTTAAACAAATTGCGAATGTCCATAACTCAATATCGCCGAACAAATATTGTTTCATCCTCCCCGAGTTCAGAAGGTCACGCCAATATATCTGTACAGTGCGTTATTGATTATAGAGCAAAAAAGAGATATATCCCTAAAATATATTAAATTCCTCGAGAATTCATCATGATTTTCCTCAAATGCGAATTCTTCGTCTTCGTTCGAAAGGCACTCGGTAGATTCGTACCTGAAATACAATCGAAGGTAACCCCAACCGTCCTACTTCGTAATCTCCTCGGAGACCTCCAAACAATAAGGAATGTTACGAAACTATTCGAATCTCCATAATCCGTAGGCTAACCGTTAATTATCAACCCCAGACACCGCATTCCACGTCAAGACAAAGCCCCTTTGAGTCGACAGTAATTTTCTTGGATTTAACAAAATCGCGATACCTTGACTAGATATATACCCCGGAAAAAGAAAAAAAAAAGGAAATTCATAATTTACACCATATCGTAAATATATCCCATAAAGTAGCACTTAAATAGCCTTGAAAAATTTTGCCAATAATCGTAAAACAATATCCCTCTTGTTGCAGTTGGGAAAGTTCATTCGCGTTGAACTTTGTTACAGGAGGCTAATTAAAGGATATTGAAAACGTGCCCCCATATACGCGAAAGCCGTGAGACTCCACGGGTAAGCTTAGCTAATGGTTACCGTAATGACCGATTGATCATGAGAGTCCCTAATTGTCTCGTATGAAAACGGGCACTGACGAAAGTTTAACATTCCAAAAATAATATCGATCCAAGTTGAAAAGTGCTGCGTTACGTGAATAATCGCGGGCGGCAGCGTCGCGTACGTTTTAAAAGGTCATAAGGTCGAAGGAGGTCGTACGATGGCTCTCCGAGGGTCTCCCTGGGAAAATGTTGAGGGTTATGATGCTCCCACTGTATTACAAGACAGTCTCGGGCAAGACGGTTCCCTCTCGATGGGAATACGAGGGTAGAAAGGCTGTCCCCTATACGTTGAAATGGGTTGGCTTTGGGTTCAGTCGAATGTTATTGCTCTGCGTCTTAGTCAGATTAAGCCGACAAACAGTTAATTGGGAGACAGGAAATTATCGCTGATACTGTCGAGACAAACGAAGTCGACCCGGTTTCATTTACATCGAACGATACTACGGGCAGCCGCCGCCGCCTGCTCCTGACAGTTTTCATCGAGTCGTTTAACTTCGCGAATAACCCGAGCTCGCTTGTCCTCTTACATTTGAATTTCGTTCTCGTCATTTTTCGTCTCCTCAAATTTTACCTTTTTTTTGAAAATTACATCAAGATGCCGTATTACTCGTCTCTTGAGACAGGATTTTTTTTCATGGTGCTTGGGCTATTTCCCATTAACGCATTACCCAGTCTCGTGTTACAAGGAAGCTGGAAAATCGTAACGGGATTTCAGGAGGAAAAAAATGCTTAACCATGAAAATACCACGTGCCACGTGGCGAATGATAATTTCAAAAAAAAATTGCTCCTTGCAATTTTCAAAAAATTTTCATACACCGTGCACGAGTAGCCGTATAAAAAAAAAATTTTGAAAATTTTTTTTCGACAGCCTTTTACCCAACCACAGACTACGTGCATCGCGATGCAAAACCTATCGGCCCGTGTCGAATTAATTATCAAAATTGAACTCCGGATACTTTATTAAGGCCAGAAGTGGGACACTCGGCGCGTGCAGTTGAAATCAATTAATTCGCCGGTACGCGGTCATATAGTTGCATTGTCCAGGGTCAGCATACGAGCGATAACGATTTATGACGCAATTAATTTCACGGAACATGTAGCTCGATACGTTCAAATGCTACTTCGAGGAATCCAGGAAGAATCCGGATATCGTATCGAATTCGAGGAATAAATCACACGGGACTATAAAACCGCGACAAGCGAGCCTACTTAAAATGTGGGGGGTCGGCAATGTTGCCAGTAAACTTGTACGTATCGCCGGTTATTTTCCTTCGTAACTCGGTCTTATCTGCGTCCTCTGTATTATACGGGTGAACACGCAAATGTGCCTTTTAAACCACATTACGAAAGCGACGGCTCGATAAATGCGACGTACGTATTCTGCGGGGCCAGGAAGACCCGAAGGATATGGAGAAGAGATACGGGAGAGATAGCTGTTGCCGAAAGAGAAGAAGAGAGAGAGAGAGAGAGAGAGAGAGAGCAACGTAGGAGAACAAGTGGGACAGAGCGGCGGCGGGGAGGAGCGAAGGGAGAGGGAAGATGAATATTGCAGAGATAATGAAAACATCGGGGAGTAATTATTTCAGCATTCCCGGTCCACCCTTATTTCGGCAGCCCCTAACCATCGGGCTGTGAAAAATACTAGCGCGAACCGACCAAACAAAACACCTCCGTTTTGTAATTTAGATTAATTCGCCTTACTGATGAGCTCGACGCGTGTGCTAATCGCACCGAAATGGAAATTTTTACTTTATTCCGTGAGGATACTTTAATTCGAAGTGTGCCACGCATTTTTTCCCCTCTCCATCTACCCCAGTCGAAATTACGAGGGTTGGCGACTTTTTAGGGAAAAAAAAAAAAAAAAAAAAAAAAAAAAAGCCAAAGAATCCCCTTATACAGGCATTAAAAAAATCTGTTTAAAACCATCATTAAAATTTATCATCGTCACAAATCGATCAATCCCAGGCATTAAAAAAATCTGTTTAAAACCATCATTAAAATTTATCATCGTCACAAATCGATCAATCCCTATTACTTTAATTCAAGCAGCACCCTCGGAAAGCAGCAAAAACGTCACTGATTGTGAGCGATAACAGAAGTTTGAACGTACTGAAAAAGAAAAAGAGCAACTCGATTCAATCCTCCAGCGAAATTCCCTCGTATCTGTACTCGACGTAACAGGATTGGATGCTCGGTAATAAAATTTCATTGCACACACCGGATACATGTTAGACAACGTGTACCAGCCCTGCATTATTTCCCATTGAAGTGTAACGGGTGAGAAAAGAAAAAAAGGAAAAGAAACGTTCTTACAGACTTTAGCGCACACGTTGACGAGTAGCAATTTCGGGCGAAGCTGTATTGTCCCTGGATTTACAGCCTCGTTAAAACTACAATTAATAGCAAGAGTGCCAAGTCGCGAAGACCTGGCCCCGAGACGTTCCACACCCCGCGGCCATTGTAGAACATTATTTAGAGTCCGTTATATTGCCACGGCGTGATTAACGACAGCGACGACCAGTCTGGTCCTTATCAGTCATATTTATGGATCCGCCTCGTCAGAATTGAAATCGTGCACCCGGCGTCTTATTTTAATTTTAATTAAAAAAAAAAAAAAAAAAAAAAAAAAAAAAAAAAAAAAAAAAAAAAAAAAAAAAAAAAAAAAAAAAAAAAAAAAAAAAAAAAAAAAAAAAAAAAAAAAAAAAAAAAAAAAAAAAAAAAAAAAAAAAAAAAAAAAAAAAAAAAAAAAAAAAAAAAAATCAAACGCAATTATGTCATAGACAACCCCCCTGGTCTTTGAAGTCAAGAACGAAAAGCTCGTCTCCCCGGAGAAAGCGGAAATGCAATTAAGGATGACGTCAGTGAACGGCTGCTGCTTTCACTCGTCAATGGAAATATCACCGGCTGAAGAGACCAAAGCTCCAGGCTTGTCTGCTCGTCCAGCCGGGCGTCTCTCTCTCTCTCTCTCGCTGCCGATCTTCCCGCATTGTTCGAACGTCGGTACGACGGCCGGTAATGATGTTGGCTTTTGAGAAGGGAATGAAAGCTGCGGTTAGAGAGGGAAAAAAAGGAAGAATTCCAAGCAACATTAATAAAGCATTAACCGCGAGAATTCAATTTAAATTTCATCAATCGTACCGTCAGTGAAATAATATTTAACCCTTGACAAGGGGCCTGTGCCAGGCTTGCCAGGCTTGCCAGGCTTGGATCCCTGCGTCCCCACTAAGCCCACCCGAGGACTGTAATCGAGGAACTCATCACCGAGTAAAGAGGGCGTTTTAACCCCCCACCCACCCTCCCTCCCTCACTCGCTAATTGTACTCCTCAAACACTTAAAGATTATTGCGAATGAAACAAGGCGTTTTATTATTCGCAATTCTTGCCAAATATTTCGTTCGTCGCGTAAGACGCCGAGGGCGTCTGGCTACTATTTATTTATTTAACAATATTCGCCCGTCTTACGACACGCTATTGTTTGTACGTTTAAACGTAGATGGTATATAGTTCAATGAAATTCCAATTATCGCTTAAGTTATTTACAATTGACGGCAGGACTGTACATTGAATACGCGCGAGTCTATTAAATCGTGATACAATGGTTAAGTACTTCGACACCCTGTATACACGGACAAGAGAGTCAGGCGTCCCGGCGTCCCGGCTTTGCCTCGTGTGACTGTGTACTAAACGATTAAAGGATCTGCCAGGACGCCTCTGGATTTACATACGTAGGTATCAGCATACAGAAATACATGCAGGGTGACGCTCAGGCGAAAGAAGTGCCAACTGGATTGGCCGCGTTTCTTTCGATGCCGAATATTCGAATGATCGAGAGAGAGAGAGAGAGAGAGAGAGAGAGAGAGAGAGAGAGAGAGTTCACCCGAAGAAAGCAGAGGGACGCAACGAAGCTGGCCAATTTGAAAGTGAGTCTGGTATTTCGGCGGTCTCTTGGAACGTAATTTTGTCAAATTTCAAGTAGCATTGTCATTTTTAATATAATTACCTAGAAACGTCCCTGTCGCTCGATGTAATTGCACAACCGGTCTTTATCGGGCAGCGCGACTTTGAATGCACCTTGCGAATAGCAAAGAGCCGCCAGTGCGAAATTCGCTTCCGCGTTATCGTTATCTCCTCGTGCCATTATTATCTCTTTAAACCTCATGCATACATCATGCCCGGGCCGCGCATGCATATCCGACTGCAAGGTATGCGTTTCGCGTGCACCGTATATATACAGGACGTGCACGTGACGCCTGGCTAAGATCTAAAGCCAAAGAGTCCAGGATACGCCGAGCGACTATAAAACACCGAAACCTTCCACGGACTCGTGCGTTTACTTATTTTCGATAAATTTTCAAACTTACTTGAAAATTTTTTTTTCCAAAAATAAAATATCGAAATTATTTTCAGTCGCGCTTAAAATTTTGTCCCGTCGATTGAGTCTTGTGGATAAATTTGAAAATTTTTCGTTTCCACAACAGTCACCACGTGGTAACGATATCACGTGGCGTGTCACGTTAAACCTAACCTAACCTCGAAATACCTCCGAACAACCCAGTCGCGTAACATTTAAGATCCAAACTGTTAACGCCGAAGCGCCAGCGCGAAGGCTCACTCATTAACGCAGCGAAGCTGTGTGAAGTTGGCCGCGAGAGGGATTAGAGGATAATGTATTCGTATGGCTGACCCAGGTACATCCCATCCCAGGATCCTGCCGACTATAGGATTGCACCGTCGGACAAGCAATTTAGCACGTTAGTTTAGTTTACCCGGTATCGGCCGCGTCAATGCTATACACCCGTGACAGCCAATTAGCATTTTCAACGCGGTTCCTATTGACCTCGCCAGCCCCGCGCATACACAGCTACACCCGCTGCAGCCAGCGGATTGGGCCACCGTTGTAACGGACAATGCTATCAGTCGGTCCGTCTGTGTCTGAGGATCCCAACGCTCGTTATCAAGTTAACCCGACAATTTGGCAGCGTTACGCCTTACCTACCGCGCGACGTGATATCCCGGCAACTGCCTTCCTCTCGTCGGCCACGTTACTCGCGTTCCCGATAATCATCCGTGTCTCCAGACACCTTCGTTAACGGGATATGGATACACGGTGCATCCGTGCCCAGCGATACTCTCGATCGAAAATCGAACCCAGGATTATCGGGCCGATCGAAACGATAGTCGAACCTTGAAATTTCAATGGGAATTTTCAAATTTTCACGTCCCCCTCCTCCAAACCGATACGCGACCTGATAAGTTGATTAGCCTTATTTTTTTTCATCGTTACGTAACGACTCCCAGCCCGCGTACACGCATTACGCCAGTCGGAACAGCGAATCGCGTGTGCGTCGCCTTACGGGAATTTATGCTGTTATGAATTTCAGTCTTACGGACTCAGCTGTGTGTATATATAGGTATACACTCGTAACAGGGCAGTGACGATAGACTTTTTAGAACTCCTCGAGAATGTTTTACGCCGGTAGTTTAGGGATTTGCGGACTCATTACCCGGCTTACTCGTAATTTCTCGGTAAGACTTTCACGTGCTTCATTTTTGAGCCTTTACGACCCCACGCGGTCCATTAATTCGTTATTGAGTTTCGCCACTACGAGAATTCGCGGAACACGTGCGCAAGCGTTTGTATGGCGAGGAAAGGAGAATTACGGGATTTTTCTTTTCTTTTTTTTTTTTCTTCCTCTTCTTACTCCCCGGTAACTTACTCTTTCGGTAAGTATCCGCTCTCGTATATCCGTACTTGATGCTTTTTTTTTTTCTTCGACGACTCGCGACCCTTCAAGCTTGTTATCGAACAAACGACCACTGCTCCCTCGCTACGTACATTTATGGTTTCTCTTGAGCTTTTTTTTTCTCAGGCTTGTGCTTTTTTTTTATGCCAAGCTATTCGTGCATTGTACAGGCTTGGGCTTCTTTTAAAATATATTTATTATAGTTAATACTGTCGCGTGCGAATTCGCGAAATTTTACTTGAATTTGGATTTTTTTTAATATTCCCCTTTTTTTCAATGCGAACCCCGGATTCTATTGTTGTCGTGTGTTACGTCGAGGGAAAAGATTTTACACGGCGAGGGTCTCGTGTTAGTATGAAAATACATTGATATAATTTAATTGGCGATTAAAGGTAGCTTTTGATATTTGCGATGGATTCATTAAATTGGACGAATTTTTTTTTTTCTTTTTTTTTTCGTCATTTCCACAGAGTACTTTCTGCACAACTGATAACTGTACTACTGTGTCGTATACATGAACGATATGAATATTGAGAATTTCAGATAGCAATTATTAAAAGTTCAATTTATATTGACCTATCGTAATCTTGAATAATGGGAAAACTTATACGTTTATGACACTCGGATAAATGAAGCACGTAACGTGAAGCTTTGAGTGCTCGTGTTCATTTTCCTATTTTTACCCACGAATAAAATAGACTTTTAGGGTCTGTGTTAAGTATATCCTGGATATCCGAAGGTTAACGGAAAATTACGTGGGACGTCAGAAAATTTCTGGCCCAATTTTTCGGCAATTAAATAACGATAAACGAAACGATCAGGAAATGCTATATTAATTTAAAGGCTAAAATTAAGGGCAGAATCTTATTAATTTATTATCGAACAGGAAATACTTGATCTGTAATCTGTTTTTTTTTTTAAATTTTAATGCCAAAATTACTTAGGGGAATATTCTGTTAGCTTTAGTACTTGGTTAGGTTTATTTTTAATAAAAATGATGAATATGGTTATTTTCGTCATATAAATCTACTTTGATGTAATGTATACTATGTATATATTCTTTCTGCAGGAAACTTGGATGGCAATCAGGTTTGAAGAAAATCGATACGGACGATTTATTACGGTGTAAATCCTGAATTATTCAAAAGGTACTCACCGACCACGTTGAGTCTGTAGCTCAGTGACATTTTTGGTTCCGTGTTGACTTGACATTCGTAGATGCCGGAATCCCTTTCCTGTGGGAATTTTATCTGCAGCGTCCAGTTTTCCGATTTATCCGGTCGGATCACCTGAAATCTCTGATCCGACGTGTACGTGAAGATGCCAACAGTGAGGATGTGTAGATCCCTCTTACGTATCCAAGAAACCTGCGAACATGGTCATAGAAGAAAAATAAATCAAATTCGACAAGTCGAACGTAGAATAAAAATTTCCCAAAAAAAAATTTTTTCATCCATACATCTTCTCGTTTACATATTCGAAATCTGCTTTTTTCCCATTTTTATTAAATTCAAGACCCTCGTCATATATTCCCATTCGAGTGCCATTGACCTTCCTAATATTAGAATCAAATTTTGATAAAATATTTTTTTTTTAAATTGATAACGATTTAATTGCCACTGCATTGAGCCTATCGATAAATTGATTTAACGCAAAATTAATGAAAAACGAGAAGTAAGCATATCCCGACCAATATCCCAAAATAAATTACTTGCTTCCCCCTAAAGCAAACCAGTAGCCTCTGAAATCGATAATACCAAGGTTTGTACCAATAGCCACAGCAAGATGAGCTTGACGCGCTTCAAACGCAAGAACGAGATACAATCCTTCGCTTTAAGAAAAATTGCTTAATTATTTTCCACATAGATATATCGCATAATCGATAATCCTTACTTTTGTTTGAGAATCCAGAAGACGCGAAAGACCAAAATTATTCAAATTTCCATACCGATACCTTCTCTTCAATAAAGTTCTTCTATCCAATAAAGTGGATTTCAAAAAAAAAAAAAAAAAATTCATGACGTACTCACACGCGTACTGTAAGTTTCATAAATGAAAAATGCATCTAGAATCTGGATAAGATATTCCTCCGAATATACTCTACATTTTTTTTTTTTGCAAACTAAGGCCATTATAGAAATTAATATGACCCGAAACGAGACAATACAAAAATATAGATCGAAAGAGGATTTAAGAAACGGGATCCCGCGATAGAAAAAAAAAAAAAATTAGGTTGCATGAAATAATTAATACGAATAACACCTATGGATCTGAATTCCAATTATAAATAAAATTCGGCTCGTCAACTGTAACGATTCGTGGAAATACAAATTAATATATTTTTCTGCGTGTTTGATATTTTTTTTGCAAAATTTTTTTTTTTCCATCCGTACCACTTTCATTCAATTTTCCCGAATTAACTCACTGGTCGTCTTAATGAAAAGTACATGCATTTCTCGTTTGCACATTAACCGGATTAGCACCAATGCGATACAACGAATTCTCGCGAAATTACATTCTCCGCAGAAACGCGAAATTTCAAACCAATCGACTGTGGCATTGTTCCGACCGATGAACACGATACTGCTTCTGTGGCTGATGCAGATACACAGGGATGAAGTTTGCTACCCTGCCATACCAACATCCCCATCGACACAAGTAAGTCTAAGTAAGTAAATGCTTGTTCGGAAATATAAAAAATATTGGATCCCTTAGCGAAGAAATTAAAATAAAAAAAGCACACCCCCGCTATAAACGAAACCTAACATATTTAATAATTGACCACCATCGTCAGAAATGTCCTTTGGAATTTTATCATTTTACCGCAGGCAGCTGCATTAAAAAAAGTACCACGTGACTAATTAAAAGACTACACACGTACCGGGATGCTTAGGACCTGTACGCGTAAGAATGCATAGTGACTATCGGTAAGGGCATTGGCTCGCTATGAGAAATTGCCCTATGAAAAATACAAAAATCAATATATCCACGCTTTGCCACCTACATGGTGTACGTGTAAGTAAAATTTCTCGCGAAACTACGCCAATTTCGATTTCGATCGAATACTTGAGAAACGTCATTTCGGGTAACACCTGCTTTACCGAAACGACGTTCATCAAGACCCAGTCCCTCAGGAAGATCCGCAGATCTGGGATTCCCAGAAAGACGGATAATTCTCTAGGCTCGTAAGCCCCGTAGGCCTGGGTTACAGTAGGCAACGGAACGCTAATAGTCGTCTAAGCCCGCTGGATTCCGACGCATTAAGTGGATTGATTAGCTGGAATCTAATATGTATCGTATTGCCCATCCTCGCGATAGTGCATGCATACCGGACCACCTGTCATTTGACCGATCTGATTCATGGTCAAGGTTAATTGCAGTACCCTAATTGAAAACTCGGAGCGAGCAACGCCGAACTTTCCGAATGGCAAATCGCCGGCCAAGTAAGCGTAAAGCAGTTAGACTGATGCTCGAGGTGAATAATTGGAGTAGGGATGTTATTGAATGAATTTGTTCGAGTGAAGGGAGGGGAAGGAGGGGAGGCAGGATGGAATTTTACACTGTGCAATAAAGTGCAGAATGTTGTGGTAGTCGGTGGTTGTGGTTCACCCAACTTTTGGGAATTCCCACGCGTCTGGCACAAGGGTATACCTATATAGACACTTGCTGTTACAGTACAGAGGATAGAACGAAGAAGGCATATACGTATATACAAGCGCAAAGTGAAAGACGTATATATACAAGGTATCCAAAATATCCAGAGTATCCAAATTAACCAGCGTAACGGACGTATCCGGTTTATCCGGTGCTTACGGGATATCCCGAACCGGCGAAAGCGGCGCTGGCGTCGTTTTAAAAAAGAAATTTATACGACGGCTGAAAAACGAATGGCTATATTATTGCAAGGCTTTCGGCCCCCACGTGGTTTACGTATTTCGATATACGTGTACGAATTCTCGTTGCACCAAAGTGCAGCGCATAACCTTAAATCTTCGTCGGATCCTCGAAATATTGAATCCCACTTGCAGCCAGTCGAATGGTGGTTAAATTTTTCTTAGCTTCGCTGGGAGACTCGGATAAGGCGAGCCGTTATTTTGACTTCATTCTCGTTATTTTTATATCCGCCCTCCGAACATTGGATCTGGGCTGAATAATTTTTGCCAGGTATGGCGAAAAGGTCGAATTTTGATAATTATTTATTTTATTCAAAAATCGAAAATCGCGTGACTGCTTGCCAGTATGGATTGTAAATAAAAAATGTGTTAAAACGAACGAGGGTCTGATTAATTTTTTTTTTATCAGGATACTGCCTTGCTAGATCCGTGCAGCCGAATTTTATTTATACCCCCCCAACGTATAACTGACCTATAATTTTCTAAACGAGCAAACCATCCAAGCAAAACGGCCCAATTACACGCGAGTCCATCAATTCTCGGTACGAACTATAATTCTCGCAAAAAGGCTTTTTGCCTTCCCGAGGGAAGTTAAATACCGCTGAGAATGAAACAATGTATAGGCTCGTTTGGTGAAAACTGGTCTTTCCGGCGGAGAAAAAAAAAATAATAATAAAAATAAATTCCTAAATTAACGAATTTTCGAATTATAGTGAAATCTCTAGAAACGCAGCGCAAGGTGGATCTTGTGAATACACCCAAATATACGTGAGACATTAGCTGCGCCCTTGACAATCTCAGGCTCCACGCGTACCAACTACCCCGAGATTAAATGTCAAGCGTAGGCATCACGTGCGATACGGTGATGACTTGAAATTACGTAACTCAAGCGAAAGCGGACGAAGTGGGTAAGTGCGCGTGGGCTCTGCGGTCGTGACGTCACACCGTCTCGTTTTCTCAAGTGCCGGAAGATTTAACAAGAAAATAGCGTCTCGAGCGGTTCAACCGGTTATCCCATTCAAGAGGCGACAGACAAGAATATAGGCTGTCACGTATATGGGTAAACCCCCTTAAGGGGGCGAATGCCAAATTTCCGGACGGAAGGCCCATAGGACGATAGGCCGCCTGGCTGCATGTCTCTCCGGGACGTCCTGGGATGCATCGCTCGGGTGTTGCCAGCAATTTTCCAAAGGTCGCTGCAGCCAACGGCATGGAAAATTGGTAAAAATGGCTCGGTCTAATGGGGATAATAAGCCTTTCACGAGGCATACGTCGCCTAATGGGAACCTATGGGATCGCATCGGCACGTCTACAGGGTTTCGAAGGTACACAGGGAATGGCAGTTACGAAGTATCCTACAAACTTCCACGTAGAGCCATTCAATATTACATATATTCAGCATTATATATACAGCTTATACCCAGCTTTGGTATTTCCTGCTGATTTTCCCATTTGCATCCAAAGAAAAGCTCTCGCGTTTCGTGGAGAAAATTCTATTACCCTGCCAGTTATCTCTATGTACCTATATATGTATATTGTACATACAGGGTGTCCCAAAATTACCTGACCAACGGTGTACGGCGGTGTTCGGGAGGCACCACCGATCACGAAAATGAGCTTCCTTTTGTCCGGAAGGTCATAGTTTTTAAATGGGAGCAGGTCAAAGTTGACCAATCAGAGGAAGGCGTGAAGAGAAACGTAGGCACCTGCGAACTCTGAGTTTTCTTCCCTCGCTTTCGTTTCTCGGTGGCTTCGGGCAGAATGACGTCAGCCGAGGACATGCCTATTGGAAACAAGAAACAAGCTACCGAGAAACAAAAGCAAGGGAAGAAAGCTCAGAGTTCGCAGGTGCCTACGTTTCTCTTGACGCCTCGTTCTGATTGGTCAACTTTGACCTGCTCCAACTTAAAAACTATGACCTTCCGGACATAAGGATGGTCATTTTCGTGATCAGTGGTGCCTCCCGAACACCGCCATACCCCGTTGGTCAGGTAATTTTGGGACACCCTGTACATACATACGCGGTATGAAAGTATGCGCGAACCCGCAACCTGCTCGCTTTCAGTTTTCCCCAAACGAATGGGATAGCACAGCAAGTAGTAGCAGTACCAGTAGTAGTACCGGCAGCAGCAGCGGTGGGTATACACGTACTATAGGCAGCCAGCTAAAGGGATTGGGATAGCCCTGCAGGCTTTGCGGCCGTAGGGATAACTGCTCGTTTGGTGATGGCGAGGAACGATCCAGGATTTATAGGTAGTCGCTAATAATGCTCCCTTGCTAACCCCAGGAAATATATTGGAGGCAAGAGAAGCGTGAGAGAGAGAGAGAGAGAGAGAGAGAGAGAGAGAGAGAGAGAGAGGGAGAGAAGGAAAAAAAGAAAGGACAAGGAGGCAGACAGAGGACTCGGAACGATAATATGTTTCACGCGCATTGCAACCCCTGAGAAATCGAGGATCGCCTCTCTCGCGCCATAGGTCAGATGGGATTCCGTGTCTCTTGGGTAAAGAAGATACAAATCTTGGCCGGTTTTCGAATCGACGACTTTTCACGGTTCGGTCCCTTCGACATACTGAATTCATATTTTTCTTTCTCCCATTCGCCTTTTTTTTCCTTAACTTTCTCTTTCACCCGGTTGCTGGTGTACCTTTTTCTTGCGCGTATGTCAAACCGAGTGAAATGCGCCCGGCGTATAAAAAAAAGTCCTCGGACGATACGTAGTTTTTGCGTGCTGCGCGAACACGAGTTTCGGCAAATCATGCAATTCAGGGACGATCGGCTCGATGCTCCTGTTGGTGTGAAAATGGGTCAAGCGAATGAAGAAAAGTTCAAGATTCTTATGGGAGGGTCGGTGATGTGAAGGATTGGGGTTACGGGGTGGAAAGATTAAAGGGGGTCACATTTTTTTTTTTTTTTTTTTTTTCTTTCCCTTTGATATATCTATTTACTAGCCCTCGGCTCGTACCGTAGGTCGATTATCGCAGGTTGATTATTTCCATATCTCGTACTCGCGACAGAAATGGCTGGTTCTGTTAGCGTGGAGGAAAATATATGAGGAATATGATTTTCCACGAGATTGAACGATAAACGTTAAGCCCCGTGTTCGGGGAAGAAAAAAATTTGTTTGATCTTCTCAGGGCCTGGTGATTTCTTCGTTATTTGCAAAATCAAATCGGGTACATCTTTTCTCTCTTGTGAGATAAGGACTCTCGTGTCTCTGTGTATTCTTGATTTCGAGATATGTTAAGGGAAAAAATTGATATTTTTTTTCCTTTTTTTCTTTTTCTTTTTTTCTTTTTTTTTTTGGGATCCAACAAAATTAGGCATATCTCCTTCACGAGATAAAAGGCTTGATATTTATGAATATCATAGGTATAAACGTTATGCCTAAGGAGGAGGAGGTGGATTTTCCGAGGAAAAGA